TATTCCCTGAAACTAACACAATTTAACCATAGTTCGTATAAACGATAAACAAGAGATATATGAAAGTAACATACATTTTTAAGTTTTAACTAATTGTAAATAGTAAATATACTTCTAAATTTAGAGATTAACGATACATATATTTATGTTTAAAAGATTAAATATTAAAATTTGATTTTTCAACAAAATTATTTCTGAAAGAATCTTCTATTGTAAGATATTTTAATCTAATTGTTATAAACTTTTCCTCTTAACAAATTCATTTTTTTATGCATACATATATTTTTTTACACATTTTTATAACACATATATAGTTTTTTACACATTTTTATAAGACATACATATATTTATTATCCTCTAAAAAATATACATTTTTTACACATTTTTATAACACATACATTTATTTATTGTCCTCTATAACACATACATTTTTAATAACATTGCATTTCTTACAAATTAAAATTGAATAAACTTTAAATCTTGCATTGAGAAATTTATTATATTTTATTGATTATTATCGGAATTTTCTTTCTATTTTTCAATTATTAATAATTTAATCTGAATTATATAATACAAAGTTTATTTAAGGAATATTTATCACATTTTATTATTTATCAAAATATTCAATGGTGAAAGCTTTTTTTTTTAAAAAAATACCTTCTAAATAAATCTTTCAAAGAATTTTTCTCTTACAAAATACTCATTTGAATAATACAAACCCAAAGAAAAACATTATCATTCTCAAAACCCTTTATCAATTTTGGAGGCAAAACCGTATTTTATTCTAAATTGATTTCAAACATTTCACTTGGAAGTGTTTTCAAACTTTTTAATATATATTCAAATACCCATATTTCAATCTACAAACAACAGACATCCAAAACAAGTTTGTATTTATTTTATTATTTAGTTTCAAATAAAATTTTAATACCTTGCATTTTTTGATACACCAATTTATCTGACAATGTTATCAGATAAATATTATAAATTTTATCATGGAAAATCAATACGAGAGATTCTCTTTTTATTTCTCACTGTCTTTATTTTCGATAAAATTTCTCACTAATCTTTCGTTTGAATTTATCTCCTCAACATTTTATTTTGCATATTTATATATCAGATATTAAATTTCTACGAAATAATATTTTGCATTTGTTGCTATTAGAAATATAATTTTTTATTCCTTTTTTTTACAGCAAAAGAAAGAATTGAAAATGTTAAAATGCCCTGAAGGATTCACAGTCGATGGTTTTTTATGCATTTAAACATTTTCTTTCAATTAAACAATATCGTTTTGTTTTTATTAGATTCTGTCAAAACTATTCAAGTTTTTTTCTATTTTTTATTTTTAACCATAAAACTTCTAAAAGTTAAAAATATGATTTAAAGTTAAAAACATTTTTTAATGTATAATCCTTTTCTTAATGGTAAAATTCGGTTTTTAAAATGAATTTTGTGATAATAATAATAAATATGTAATATTATAGCGTTTTAGTTTTCGTTTAAAGTTTTGAAATAAAGCATTAGAATTTTTCTGGATTGGCAACATGGGAATTACTGTTTCATCATTTTTCAGAAATCTGTCTAATATGTAAATTTAAAGGCATTTTTGTTTATTTGAGTAAGGATTCATTATGCATTCCCACAAAAATCTATAATCTTGTAATCAAAGTTGATAGATCATCCTTTCAAGAACGGGTTGACCCTTATGTTAAACTTTGGATTTTACAAGTTTTATTCGCCAATTAGACGTTGAAACCGATAATTGGAGAGGGAGAAAAGAAAAAAGGGAGTGTGCAGAGTCGAGTGAAGAGTTCCAGGAAGGACGGAAGGTACAAAGACCCTTAAACAGATTTACTTTTAAGATGATTTTGTTAATATTTGTTATATATAACTATGTTTTGTGTGTTATGTGTTGCAGTTATGCAGAGCTGTCTTAGCAAATTTTAATAAATATGACAGCTAAAAGTTTAGTTATTATTTAAAGAAATAAATCAGATTCAACCATGAAACAACACAGAATCCAGACCACACGCATTTATTTTAGACTCCAAGTTTTACTATTTGTATTTTATATAAATTAGCAGTTTTCAATATGCAGCTTTCAAATTTGGAACGCAAATAGGCTATGGTCTATGTAAAACAGAAAGCTACTTTAAAATTAGAGATGCCCCCTGTTCCTCTATTTCAGTGAATTTTTATGGAAATTTCAGTCACCATTTTCTCCAAATGTTTATGAGGTACGTGATACGTCAATATTAAAAATTTCAAACGCATTTTTGAAAAAAAAATAGCAGTAGCAAAGAATTAAGTTAAACATTAGTCTTATGAAACTTAATATTGTAATTAAAGTAATTACTACAAGTAATTACAGTACGTGCTGTTTATGAAAACATGCGCAAAATATAACAGAAAAGAAATGCAAATATTATTAAGACCTAAATAAATCTAATTTATCACTTATATATGTAAATTAATGTGTTTTTTGTATTATTTCTTCTCAAATGAGTCTCAAAAATATCAGGCAATTAAGCTAATCTTATGAAATTAAGAATTTACTGTAAAATTGATTAAAAATTTATCGTGGAAAGATTTTAACAGTTTAATATGTAATAATTTAGGTAAACATGTAAACAATCAAATTAATAAAGTGTTTTTGAACTTTGAATTTAAAAAAGATAATACTTCTTAGTAAACACCAAATTTTAAGTTTTTAAATAAAATTTTTATAAATTAAAATCATTGAACTCATGATATGGTTTGTCTCTGACTTAAATCCTATAGAGCATGTCTGGGATGCTCTTGGCAGACGTATTGTTAAAATAGACAATGAAATTATAAAAAACAAATGCGTATTTTTAGATGATCATATTTCTAATTAAGATATTTATAACCTAAAATTTGATCACAAGTGCATGATTAAATCCCAAGTACAGTTCCTTCCAAAATCGAATATTTACGATATACGTCGATACGAATCGAATTACGATATACGATATCTACGTCGAGTCTAATTGCCCAGTCTGCGGCAGACCTTAATTATCACACTTCATAATAAACAAAACCACAAGGGGCTCACTTTGAGAAACAGGCGGAAACTCCGACCTATTTAGTCACTTCGAGAAAAAAAATAACACTTTTGGTCGACTCGTTGCAGAACTCTCTTTTTTTCTCCAAAATCCTCCCTTTAAGACAATCGGTCAACTTCCTTCACTTCTCATTGGAGTCGACATTTCACAACTCATGGTCTATCACCTATCACGATGGAACAACTAATGGTATAGCTCATATTCCATCTGTAGTTGTTCGCCCTGTGAAGGTCGCACAGACATTCGCTAATTTTATGTGTCTCATTATACATGACACCGAATATCTGCTATCAGATTTGAATGGCAGGTTGTTCCCATTAGTGTAAAACACTAATTGCATGTAATATAACTACCCACAACACTGCTTGTGATGGGTTGATATTAAGTACTTGTCCAAAAATATACATTCCTTTCTCCTGGGAATGAAATACCAAAACTCTTCCCGTGATAAAAAATGCTACAATATCCATAACATTGATATTAATATCTATAGTAAAAATTGATACCTGAATTCAAAACTTATTTGAATTATTTGTAATCTGCTTTTGTTATAATATTACATTAAAGTACACAAAATTGAACCTTATTCAAAAACGTGATTTTTAATCAGAATATAATTTTTCTATTTTAGTCGATGATCTTCCTTCAACCTTTTTTTATGATTTTATCAGTTTATTAATAATTCAAAAATAGTTTGAAATATTTCTTTTGCTATAGAAAGCAACTTAAAACTTTTGTAAACATTTTCTGTTTAATAACAGGAATAAAAGGAATAACATTCCTTAAGGAATAATTAATTTTTTTTTCTTTCTAATGCAGCTGGCAAACACAGACAGCTTGGTCTTTGTATGCCTTAAGGCAAGTGCTGCACAGACGTACTCACTTTGCATTACCCAGGGGGCGCGTGTAACTTGAAGATAAGCCACGGACGCGGAGTAATAATGCCCCCGCAACGCTCTACGATCCTATTTGACCGGGACCTACTTTTTAAAGTGGATTCCGAACCACTACAAACAACCATGGCACCGCCGGGACTCGAACCCGAAACCTGTGGTACCGAGCGCCAGAGCGTTAGCCACTCGGAATAATGAAAATAAAAAATAAAAACTCGTTTAATGTAGAACTTTTTTTTCAGTATAATAACATTACAATTAAGATTTATCCCTTTGACAATAACTTTTGTAATAAAAACTTTGGAAATGATTACTTTGTGTGTTGACTTTTATCAGTCTTATAAATTTTTGATTGGAAAATATTTTTTTGCGCTGAAATACAGAGATATTTTATTCAATAACACCCCAAAGTATAGTATATATTTTTTATTATTGTTGTTTGTGTCTCTTCCAAGAAACTTATACGTTAAGATTGACTAGTTTTCGATTTAATTTTTAAAAACGCTTCTGCAAGTTACTTTCAAAGAGTTTTCATTAATTTCAGTAAAGTCATTTTTTTTAATTTTTTGAAAAAAATTTAAAGCTGCTTTCTTTTATATATTGTACATTTTATTATAAAACCAATATATTTCGACACAATGATAGCTCAATAAACCCATGATATTCGTTGATTAATGTATATCGAAATACACACACAAATATTCTTGATGAGAATACCTATTTTGTTCATTTTATTATACTGAATTTACTTTTTCCTCAATGCAAGGCATTCCAAAATAGTATTATTATTTATTCTAGTATCATTTGAAAATTATTAAGAAAGAACTTGCGAAACCTCGTGTCATATAAAACTAATTAAATCGACGAAAAAAAAACTAATTAAAATGATTCTGATGATTTGTAATGTAATTAAACTAAGTTATTTTTAGGTTCTATCATTGTTTTTAATTCATAAAATATTGATTTGAATTATATTTATTTGTAAGACTTTTTTAATATTTGTGATAAACAAAAATCTTTCTCGTTAGATCACCGAAGTCAAACATTATTGGGTGCGGTCAGTACTTGGGTGGGTGACCACCTGGGAACACCGCGTGCCGTTGGCATTCATAAATTTGAGACCTGAATGGCCGAGTGTCTAGCGCTCTGGCGCTCGATGATACAGGTTTCAGGTTCGAATCCCGGCGGTGCCATGGATGTTTGTAGTAGTTCGGAATCGACTTTAAGCCGTAGGTCCCGGTCTCCTATGACTGTAAGAGCGTCACGGAGCCAAAGTCAGACTTCTACCTACGGGTGCTCCATCACAACAGAAGCTGCTTCCTTCCCCTTCAATCATGAGTACGTATGGGCTCGTGGGCTTGGCCAGCCAACTGGGATAAGAAACAGCAACAACAAAAATCTTAATTTAATTTTTAATAAATGAAGCAATAAACCACAAGTGAATATATATGGCATACATTAATATCTCCCTTAATTACACTAATCCAAAAGATTTCTATAAGGAACATTATAAAATCACTTTTTTTTACGCCAGTGGCCCTTGTGATACATTTATGAATGTCATGAACAACTTACGGACGAAGAGGATGGGTTTTGTCCCCTACATTTGTATGGGACAAAGGTCATTGAACTCTACACAGACAGCTTGACTGTTCGTACAAAAAGCTTTCATACACTGTTACAATCTACATTGTGTCTCTTCGTAGCAGTAATCGAAGTGATACCATAGACTACAGGTCTACATCTTATTTGTAAGGAAAGAAATACAATTGATTTAACATGTACTAATTTTTTAGTGGTTGCAAAGTAGATGATCCTTTTTGTTTTACGTGCGGTTTTACTTTACTTTTATACTTTCCATAGCATTTTGTAAGAAGAGACATTTTTTTTTGGCAAATGTTTTTGAAAAATTAAATTTATGTAAGTACGTATATATTTTGATAATAGAGTTTTACATATTAATTAGAGTTACCATCATCTTTTAATTATACTCTTAAATTGGTTAATACTAATTTGCTTTATTAATTTATAATAATTTACTTTTCATATTTATCATATAAAAAGTACTTGTGTTTCATTATATTTTGAATACATATTTTTTTTATATATTTTATTATATTTTTTATACTTCATAAAAAATGTGCTTGTGATTCATTATATTTTGAAAATTTTGATCAAATGTAATTTTTAAATTTTTTTAAATATTTTGTTCCTATTTAAACAGAAAAAAATGGAAAACATAACAGAAGATAATTTTAAACCATTTTTTCATGAGCATCTTAATAAACTGTTTCCTTTACATTTTTATTATGATTATTAAAAAATGCTCATTATATTGTTACATTAATGTTACTACTTCATTTCATTCATAAAATGTAGTCATATAGAAATTTATTTTTCTTATAGTAATCATAGTTCAAAAATAATAATAGCATCTTTTTTGCTTAAACTCTGTGCAGTAACTATGAGGCCCGTGGCATATTTTTCGAATGGGGGCCCCTCAATGCAAAGTATCATTATTATACTTTCTTTTTAATAAAGTACTACTTAAAATACTTATTATTTTTGGTTGATAAACATTTAGTTTAAAGGGTGTAATGAATCAAAATTACAGATTAAGGTAATAAAAATTTTATTCGATAAAATTTCTTTTTGCGGGGTTTCTGATCAGCAAAAATGTCAATGACAGCATCAATGTTCAAGTTTCGAACCCTGGAATGTTTGATAGATTCCCTAACAAATAAATTAGAAAAATATCCTTGTGGCCAGAGGGAATTCCCACTTTTTATTTTGTAAGTACCTATTCACGAACCAGAAATCGTGGAAGTCCCTAGCATCGAGATGTCCCGTGCGTAACGATTTCTATCACTATTATTAACAGATGCGATATATTTTTCATACAAATGAATACGATTAAAATCTTGATACAATTTTTTTTATTTATCATTTTTAATAACTTAAATTTATTAACGATATAATTAATAAATTTTACTTTATTATGTAATAATAAATGTCAGGTCTTTCATGTACTCATAGCTCCTTTCTATAGGCCGGGTCTGGTGACAATTTACCCGTCTTGCCACCCTATTGTTACGCCACTGCTTAAACTATATAGTGATACTGACAATCTTTCAAATGCCCTTAGTATTTAACCCAGGGTGGCCAACCCAAATGATCTTGCCTGCCACTTTGAAAAAGTGGTGATCATCTGAGCAATCAATTGATATAACAGAATTAGATTTAGACCCACAATAGACATTTTTTTGGAGTGAAAAATTAAAGCATAATGAGTTATTATTTTTGTGTTTACTATTGTAAACATAGATAATGTAATAATAATGATACTAAATGCACATTGTAAAGAAATATATTACACTAAAAATTAAATATAAAAAATATATAAGTATAAATTAAATAAAAAATGAAATTATTAAAAAATATCTATTTTACTAGTGCGATATTTGTTCGCAGAATATAATTTAATTAATCTGCGAACTCGTAACTGTAAACTCATAAATAAAACAGGCAACATCTGTCATATATTCGCAAGAATATTATTTTAAAATCAAAGTTAATTTTTTCTCAAATTCGGCAGTTAATTTTGAATATATGGATGCACACATAATGTATTTCTTTAATACATTGAATGCATTATAAAATGACCAAAGCAGTACAAAAAACTTTTACAAAGTAATATTGTAAAAGTGTGATAAATCTCCCGAGCTGGAAAAATGTTCAAGGCGGGCCAGGCCGCGGGTTGTACACACCATGATATATAAAGCATGGGTAAAGATACACGTGGTTTAAAAATTCTGAAATAGTAAAAATGTGTAAACTATTACAAATCAAGCAAAAAAAATTAGAAAAATTCATGATTTTTTACTGTTTAATGAAATTTATGAAAATAGTACCTTCAAAAATACACGGAAGTAAACAATGTTTTATATATCTGTACCTCAAATGGATAGAAGAATAAACTTGAACATCGAATGAATGATGTAGATGAGATGAGATATTCATTAGTAGTAAACTGTGACTAGATTACAATTTTTATTAGTGATTATAATACTAAAGCAGCTATTAACTTGGCTTGTGTTCTTGTAATATCCATTTGTAGAATATGTACTGAACTACATGCAACTGTAATACATATATACACTCAAGAGCCAAAACATTATGACCACCTGTCAATAACGAGTTGACCCACCTTTGGCGCGCAGCACAGCTTCAACCCGCCTTGGCATGGATTAATACCACCACTTAATACCAGTTAAATACCACTTCCACCTGATCACGTGCCTTCCACGTCATCCAGCCGAACTCATTGCAAAACGTAGGGGTGGTCATAATGTTTTGGCTCTTGAGTGTACTTTCATGTATTAAAAGAATAAAATCATATGATATTACTTGTTTCTTGTTTCAAGTATATTTGTGTATGTATTTTTGCATAAACACAATTTATATTATATACATTGTGATTACTAAGAAAAATATGTGTAATAATATATATTATATATTATTATAATTTTTTTAAATGGATATTTTTTTATTTTGAATTGTTGTCAACAATAAATAAATATTTAGGAATTATTCGTCTATAATAATCCTTAAGTAAACGGTAATCAAATGAATCAATTAAATATATGGAAAAATTTGTCTTGAAAAGAAAATTATATTATATTTAAAGTAAACTTATTTTCATAAATTTTACAAAGCACTCAAATTTTAGTAAATCATTTTATAAAGAATTTACGAAATATTTAAAAAATATTATTATATTTTTATTAAAAATACCACTTACTTAAATTTCCATCTTGAAACTCAAGGCATTATAATCTTCTTCCTTCTAAAATAAACGCATGCTATTTTTATTTTGCTTAAAAATTAGTAATTATTTATACGGGTTCCCCCTATGAAAGTATTGTTTTAATATTATACACATAAGAGATATTTTTCAAGTTGAAGCATTATCAATCTAGGTTTATTGCATATTAATAATAATTATTATTTCTTTATCCTGAAATTTATCATCATTATCATTATTATTTATCTCTGTTGCAGATTATAAATTTTACAAAATAAATAAAAAAATTATTTTTATTTTTAGTGTGTTCATTCAATCACTTGAAAATATCCGCATTCCATAATTTTGGAAACAAAGTCTTCGTAAATGAGCTTTGTATCATTATTTATAATAAATGTAGGAAAAGGGCTCTGGAGTATTTATTGAAAAGCGTTATTTTCTTTTCATGGCTCATCAAACAAATTTATTGATAAATTAAACCACTGAGCTAAAAAAATTTAACGCTGAAAAGTAACAAATAACTATGAAAATAACATTTATTACAAAAAAATTATTTTTAATTAATGCTGTGACAGGTGGCGCCATCTATAGGATATAAAAAATAAAAAATAAAAAAATTTGAATGGAATAGTTTTGTTGAATGCAACTATTCCAATGTACTTAAACTATTTAGATCTTTCATAGCAATCGATTATAAATCAATCTTCGGAAACTACTGAAATGCTAAACAGCGAATTTGGAACGTTTTTCAAAAAGGTTTTTGAGAGATCTTCGAGAAGATTCTATTAATCTTTTCGAATGTGTCGAAAAAAGATTTTGTAAGAAATCTTAAGCAATCTGTATATAAAGTTTTACATATTAAAACTTATTAGAGCTTAACAATATTTAAAATAAATTATTGAATGTTAACAGTTAAGCATTTGTTAGGATCTCTTTCAGAATTTTAGTTACTTCTAAAAAAAAATGAATTGCGCATTTTTTTAATATGGAAGCATTATGCCAGTGATAGAGAAATTTTACATTTGGCTTGCAAATTCACTTAATTTATTCACTGAATCATTTCAATAGGTCAATGATGTTTTTTGATATCACTGTGATTTGATCTGAACAAGCTCACAGTGATTTACATCATCTACCCACCTTCTAAAACCTAATAGAACGCCATTCCAGTTTATAAATTTTTTTAAGCAAATCTCCTTCTTAAAAACTGGAATTTTCATTTCAAATTCATTACTGAGCTAAAGTTAATTCACTAACCAACTTTCTAATTAAATTCGTGAAAACTAATTTACTTCACT